CAGCGTAGTGGCCCTACACTTCATGGGTACGCCACAATTATACAGCGGCGTGTCGGCGCAGCACGACGGAGCCGAAAAGGACAATGGTCGGAGCTGCGGCGGTCGCGGGGCCGTGCACTGGAGGAGCCCGCCGGAGGAAGCCACAGAACAGGAAGAAATCTGCCCCGGGACACTGGAAGTGGAGCGCCGACACCCGAGGCCGCCGGAAGAAGCCAGACTCCAACAACAAGCCCTGCTGCTGGGTGCTGGTAGGAAGTCACCCCCCGTATCATTGTGGCCTTAGTCAGGAACCAATGATTGTGTGTAAGCCGCTCAGAGACCCTTCGGGGTTCGAGCGGGATATAAATGGAATGATAAAAATATAAATAAATGGGTGGTCTTCCATCCAAGCACTGGCCAGGGCTGACCCTACTTGGCCTCCGAGATCAGGCAAGATCAGGCCAGCCTGGGCCATCCAGGACAGGGCACTGGGGCACTGCTGGTGGCCTGATGTGAAATGGGCCCTTGCCTCCATGGCCCTCCTCAGAGGTTTGGAAAAGCCTGGTCTATAGGAGGCTTTTTGGGGAGCATTTGCTTAGTCAAGGCCTCTCAGCTGGGGTCAGCTCAGTCATCGATAGGCTGGGCTCTGGGGAGGGCTCTCAGAGAGAAGGGGAAATTCACGACGCCCAGACAGCCCTCTCATCTTTAGGGGAAAGGTCATAGGGAGCGGTGGCGCAGGCGGTAAGTGAAGCCTGCATTGACATCTGGCCGAACAGCTTCGGCTGTTCGAGCCCCACCGCGGCTGGGGTGAGCACCCGGCCCTATGTCCCCGCTCCCGCCCACCCAGCGGCTCGAAAGCCCGAGGGCAAATAGACAAATGGGTTCCTGCTCTTAGAGCGGGGGGGGGGTACCCGTCCCTTGCGTGTAGCAGTGGCGTGAGCGGCGGCGGCGGCGAAATGTGGCGGCTGGCGAGGCAAAGCGAGTGAGAGGAGGCTGGGCCGGCAAAAAGCACGGAGGCAGGGCGACGCAGCAGGCTGGAGGCTACTGAACAGAGGCCGGCAGTGAGCACGCACGGACGTGCGCTCGGTCCAAGCCTGAAGGAGTCGCAACAGCCAGGAAGTTGTAACAACAATCAAAGACCAGCGCCAGGAGGACATCATCGGACGAGCTCCCGCGGACAACGACGACTCGCTACAAGGGTGCCTGGTAGGCTAGTCACTCTCCCCCTTGTATGTATGTGGCCCTAGGTTAGGATTGGCATTAATGGAATATGTAAACCGCTCAGAGCCCTTAGGGGGTGAGCGATATATAAATTGAAGGAAATAAATAAATAATAATAAAAAATGAAGAAGAAGAAGAGGAAGA